TTTCATGCATTTTCCCTCCAAATCCAGAAACCATCACCCATATTTGTTATCTTCATTAACAGCTGTTGCTAGCCACCTGCTGTGAGGCCGAAAAGGAAACTTGAGTGACTGTTTTCCACATGATTTTTTTCAACATCACACAGTGCTCACATCTATATATAAAATGTGCTGCACAATCATACAAGGATAAATCTCACTTGGCTAAAATCTCCTGAGCTGTGAGAAATGCAGGTACTGCTCTCAGCTTAGAATGTGCTAAAATGTTAGCTTCTGTTTGATCTACCTGCTACTCTTTGGTTAGCTACTTAGATTAAAAACAAACAAACAAACACCGCCTGTATGTTTTCCATCACTTTGCTCATTGACATTCTTCTGTTCAAAATAAAACAAAAATGATGGGTTGTTGTTGTTGTTTTTTGCACCATCTCACATAATGTCTCTAATGGACTTTTGCCTGTTGTTTTTCTTGAGGGTAGGAGAGAGTGGTTACTTTCTAAAATGCCACAAAAATCAATGCAAGGTAAAGAAAACAGCTGAAAGAAGGAAGATGAGAACATACTGTTAATCGAGTCACAGACAGTTCGCTTCTTGGAGCAAAGACTGACTGTCTCTTCTTCAATTAACAAAGTTCACTTTTGCCTTCTTTGTTCTGAGAGCAGTATAAGCAAGTAGATTTGACCCTGAAATCATTATAGATTTATTTTATGTTTCTTAAACAACTGATGCAAAAACCTCTGGGAGTGTTTTTAAACAATTAGTCCCATATATATATATATATATATATATATATATATATATATATATGTATATTCATTGGTTCTGTGGCTGTCATACAGAACAGTTTCCTGATGTGCATCCTCTACCTCTCTTCAGACTTGCTTCATAAAAGCATCCATCACCACAGTTTGCCTTACTAGCCACATAAATGTAACACAGACCACATTGTCCCTGAAACATCACAGGGCCCCATCATTGAAATCTACATGGAATAAATTTTAAAGACACTGAGAAACTAGTTGAAGGGAGAACTACAAGGAAGGTATTTGAAAGAAGACATTTGATTAAAACAGCCCTTTTTTGTTTGTTAACAGAATTTTTCTAGATAGAAGTATTCCTATTTAAGAGTGTGTCTCAAGTTATCAGGGAAAAAATTAAATGGCGTAAAATATGTTCTAAGGAGCTGGATATCAAGCAGACATTTGCATCCTAGTACTAAATACAATATGCAAGAGCTAAAGCTTCCTAACATCACTGCAAAACAGGCAAAAAACTTCCAAAATTACCCTTTACCTTTGCCACTAAATCTCTACTAGATTTCTAGCAGACCAAGATTATGCTTTTCTTACACCTAGTGCCTTTCTGTTTGCTGAAAATGGGTGAAAAATGTTGACATCCTTCAGTAATGGTGACAACATTCAGTTTTGCAGGTTAGCAGAGGCTAATGTGATGAACTACCCTTCATTCCAGGGACGCAGGTGGCGCTGTGGGTAAAACCTCAGTGCCTAGGACTTGCTGATCGTAAGGTTGGCGGTTCGAATCCCCGCGGCAGGGTGAGCTCCCGTCGTTCGGTCCCAGCTCCTGCCCACCTAGCAGTTCGAAAGCACCCCTAAGTGCAAGTAGATAAATAGGGACCGCTTATCAGCGGGAAGGTAAGCGGCGTTTCCGTGTGCGGCGCTGGTGCTGGCTCGCCAGCTGCAGCTTCGTCACGCTGGCCACGTGACCCGGAAGTGTCTTCGGACGGTGCCGGCTCACAGCCTCTAGAGCGAGATGAGCGCACAACCCTAGAGTCGGACACGACTGGCCCGTACAGGCAGGGGTACCTTTACCTTTACCTTACCTTTCATTCCAATTGGGTAAGGAAAATTATGAGACCATTGGTCCATCTAGCTCAGTATTGTCTATCCTGGCGAACAGCAGCTCTCCAGTGTTTCAGGAAGGGCCTTTTCCCAGCCCTACCCAGAGATGCCACCAAGGACTGAACCTGGGGCCTCCTGCATGCAAGGGAGATGGTCTGCCTCTTGAGTTGCAATTCTTAGTAACACATATGTTTATGGTGCTGCTTGAGTTTGGGCGGGAGACCAGGCTGGGGATGGGGTGGTAGGTGCCGATTGTCCCCTCGCCCCAGGAAACACTTTGCCCTGGGGGCAGGGCTGGCTCATGGCCAAACCATGGATTTTAATCCTTCCTTCTTCCCAAAGGCATATGGAAAATAATTCTTAAAAACAAAGAAAATATTTTAAAGACTTTATGGAAATGACTAAAGAACACACTATTCATCCATAGCCACGTGTACTGAGAAGACCCAGCTTCCCCTTTTTTAATTCGGTGTGGACTATTAAAACTGAATTAATTAAGATATAGTAGAATGAATTTCCTATTTATGTGACAGGAAGTTCAGGCAGGAGCCTAAACTTACCGCTTTTATGCTTTCGGTGCATGCAGTAATGAATCTGCAAGAGCCTTGGATGGAAGGGTGTTTAATACTAGCATGTAACTTATGCTTTGGATTTATGATTGCTTTTCATTTACTCTTCGAAGTCAAGGGGGCTTCCCATACAGTTCTGGCGGGGAAAATTGGGTCAGACATTTAGCTAATGCAGTATGAGATGTATGACTGTGGAGTTCACCAGCAAGAACAATTACAGTAATAAAATTTCTATTTTTGAATGAAAAATGATTACATTATAAAGTCTAATCCAGGGTAAATATAAGGCAGGTTTGCTTAAAGTAAATCACACAGAGATACAAATCAAGGATTACATCTATTCATCTGAATCTTCTCAACTGGTGCAACTTAACGTCACAAGTTCAACTAATGTCACTAAACGTTTGCATGATTATGTTTTGATTCATGATTACAAGATGATTCAAAGTTGTTGAGGCAAAAATAGCCGCCTGGCAAATTTTGTGTTATATTTGCCATATGAACGGAGATAAATAAAATATAATCAAACGTAGCCAATTTGATTAAAGTCCTCTGGAGGGTGGACTACATATAGAAGATTTATATATGGAAATCAAATAGTTTCACACCAATGGCAGCACTTGTCACTTCCAGATTCATTCCTTACAAGCTGTGACATAAAATGAGGAAATAAAACCTAGGTGCATATTTTGTAGTGATGTTTAGGATATGTTAATACCCCAGAGCCGTTGAAAATATACTCTAAAAGCTTTTAGGGGGATTAATCTGAGATACTTCTGTTATTACTGTATTAAAAGCCTTAAAAAATTAAACCTTATTAGATTAAAATTATTGGGGAAGAAGCTGATCTGATAATACAGAATGCAATTTCTGCTATTGTGTGCATGTTATTCTGGCATGAGGTTTGGCATTGAGCCATCTTTTCCTTATACATTTTTATCTCATTATTTGAGAATAAGAATGCACTATCAATTAAAAAATTGATAAAATATTATTCCAAATCCATTTTATTTAATTAAATGATGGGAGAATGGGTTGGTTTTGTATTGGGGTGAATATTTTACTTGCGTTGCATGGGGAAGGGTCTTATTTTGGGATACAAACGGAAGTTGGCTGTAGTGACAAATGTTTTGTTCCATATTCTCCTTTTATTACATATCATAGAGTAAAACCATGTCAGATTTAAAATAATAATAATAATAATCAAGAGTGATTGATTATGAGCCTTTGAGAGACTGGTCACTAGGAGGTGGTTTTTGATAGGTAAAGGTAAAGGTACCCCTGCCCATACGGGCCAGTCTTGACAGACTCTAGGGTTGTGCGCCCATCTCACTTAAGAGGCCGGGGGCCAGCGCTGTCCGCAGACACTTCCGGGTCACGTGGCCAGCGTGACAAAGCTGCATCTGGCGAGCCAGCGCAGCACACGGAAACGCCGTTTACCTTCCCGCCAGTAAGCGGTCCCTATTTATCTACTTGCACCCGGGGGTGCTTTCGAACTGCTAGGTTGGCAGGCGCTGGGACCGAACAACGGGAGCGCACCCCGCCGCGGGGATTCGAACCGCCGACCTTTCGATCGGCAAGCCCCAGGCGCTGAGGCTTTTACCCACAGCGCCACCCGCGTCCCTTGGTTTTTGATATCTAATGTCTTTTCTTTTCAAACTATGCACAATAGCCTCATAAGCACAGATGCTCTAACTTTATAAAGATCTGCAATAATTTGACATGCAGTCACATTTTTTTAGGTGGCATTTTTAAAGCAATTTTGGCATAAGGGTAAGTACATCCATTACAAAGGCTGAAAGTTGCAAGGGGTTGTATCATGTAAAGAGCCTATCTGGAAGGGACCACCCCATATTGGAGACAAAGCTGCATGAGAAATTAGTTAACGTAAAGCATAGTTGGTTCCAGATACCCTAAATTAGATCTTTCATGAGCTCTGTACTGTCCAAAGAGAAAGGAATTTGCTCCCAAACCTCGTTTGTTTACAATCCTTGGGGCAATTGAAAGGGTTAGCATCTCAGTTATACAAACTGCTTGTTGATATCATTATAGGATCCTCAGAAGGCTTGAGAATGGTGTGCGAGGGAGATCTAGGGCGTCTTGTTTTATTCTATTTAATTTTTAGGGATTCTTGTTTGTTTTATGGTTTTCAACTCCCCAGAGGACATTATTGAATGGGATATAAATATTGCACATAAATAAAATAGAAGGCATGACACAGAAGGAAAAAAGATAGGGAGGAAAAAGGAAAACAAGCAAAATCTGGCACAAGTGCTTAAAGTTTGTATACTAAGCAGCTTGAATGGAAGCATTTGGAGGGAGAAGGGCGAACTGGAATTGGCCTGTCACTGTCAGCAGAGCCCATGGAGTGTGTCCTGATTTATATCATTCCCTCTTTTACAGTCAGGTGGAATGACTGCTGCAAGATGGCATATGAGGGAGAGATGAGATCAAATGTAACTGTATTAGCATTTGGTTTTCCCCTGTCTTTTCTCTGTGTATCTAAGAAAAGGAATTTATACTAGCTGTATTTTTGACAGAATTATAACTTGTTCTTTTTTTTCTGGTCCTGCAGGTTTTCAAAACACAGATTCCTTTACCCGAAGGCATTTCCCACATGCTGCTCACAGGATGGACTATATGGACTTTGAGGATGATAGCAGAGGATTGCGATTTGACATGGACATGGTGATAATCTACATTTATTCCATCAATTGGGTTATAGGATTCATTGTGTTCTGCTTTCTCTGCTATTTTTTCTTTCCCTTTTAAGGACTTCGATTTCCCATTGTTTCGTTCAGCCATCAGGCATGGGAACAGACATACCCTGATGTAAAGAGCATGTAGAAGACTTGGATTTACTGTTTTAAAAATTGAAATGGTTAAAATATCAAGAGTAACTCGGTGTCCATTTTCCAATCATTAGGTTTTTCTGCTGCATTTTGAACTTTGAATTGTGAAGAAGTATTTATATATAGTGTGTACTTTTACTAGTTCCTTCTAAAATGGACACACAGTTTTCTGATCAAATACTTTCTTTTTGGTTCTGTATTGCCAACATTTAAGCACATTAGAGCAGATTCAGATGTGCATATTCACTGAAAAGTGGCTTCAGCTACAAGCAACAATTGGCATGTTTGAAACAGTCTTCATAGTTCACATCCTACAGATAGACCCTCCATATCACCTAAGATATAATGATTTCTGTGGAGGAGTTCACACCTTAAGCAGTTAGGCTCCCTTGTGATGTTTGGAGTTCTCCATGTGATATATTTGCTTATTTGCAGTGTGTATCAAATGCACTGTATATCACATGTTTTAAGACTCTAGATTTTCTTCTCAGTATTCATCCTGAATATATTAAGCTCACATAGGATATGGTTCAAGAGCAGTTTTTGTGGTGACCAATGTAGCCAAACCTGCAAAGACAATCTAGCTCTCTTTTGCCTATGTTTGTCAAAGTATTGACGTGGAGGAAACTAACCTTTAGTCTCCTGAAGCAGAGTAGTCACATTTATAATGGGACAATGAGTGGAAACACAAATCAAAGGCCACATTAGTACTGCCTGTGTTTAATGGAAGCCGTTTCCACAATGCAATTAAAAGACACCCCAAAAAGTCATATCGGATTGCTACTGTAGGAAAATGCTACACCTCATGTTTACTCTAGATAACACCATATGTGGCAACAACATTACACCTCACTTCCCACTGCCAGTGGGAACATTTTAGGGAAAGGAATGTTCAGACTTGGTCAATGTCATCAAGTAACAAATAATCAAGTGATGGTGCAAGATATCAGGTGACGAATATGAAGATGTGAATCAGCCCTTTGTTTCTTTCTTAGCACTTGACATGCAAGGTGGAATAAGGTTACTTGCCTGTTACTTTAAGCTCACATCTTATACAGATTCACACATGCATACAGAATCAACTGAGGCATGAATGAGCAATCACTGCTCAAGTATCAGTCAGAAAGGTCATATCACCACACATTTCCTTAAACACTGTGTTTTTCATTAGAGACTGCTCACACATTCAGCTGGGAGTTGTCAAGTGTTGAAAAATCAAATAATCTTTATTTGTGCACAAACTGCCCTTAGATGTAAGAAGACTGGAAGCATTGCAATGATACATATGTCACACATTCTTGTAACACACACACACACAACCTCAATATGTGGAAGAATAGGTAACTGAAAAGATTGTGGCACAGATTGTTGTTTGGCGTTCTGATGTTAGTCCTGTTAATCTCCTCTGCTCTCAGTATGACTGGATCTGGATCCAGCCCATAATTTAACATAGTATTTATTATTTCTAAAGTGCCTAAAACAAAACAAAACAGGGTGCTATGAAACAGAGTTAACCACAAGAAAATGACGCCCCTCCGATTACAATCTAAGTGTGAGACAGCAGGTGTAACCTTTGGTCTGTCTAAGAGATTTCTACTAGAGGAAAGCAATGTATACTGAGAAATAGAGACAACGAAATGCAAGCACTTAGAAGTTTTTTTTTAAGCAATTTTAAATTTTAAAAGATAAGCCAATGCAAAGAGAAAAGAAGAGGACACTGTTATATTTACAGACAAGAAAGGTGAGAAATATTCAGAGCAAAAAATAGATATTTATCATTTTTTAAAAACATTTATATAAATTTTTATTAAAGTTTTTCAATACAAATGCATATTTAATAAAACAACATTGATTATTTAACATCTTTTCATTACTACTTTGGACTCCCTCACGCCTCCCGCACCCACTTGCATCATTGTGAAGTTGTTTCCAAGCAAATTATCATTTTGTTCATAGTCTTAGATTCAATCATTAAAATACAGTCTCTTCCTTTCTCTTAAAAGAGATATATACTTTCCTTATTTCCCTTATAATTGAACTTAAATCTAGTTTAGTGGTAGACAATTATTTCTACTCTGACATCCCTGTTAACATTCAGCCAAATTACAGTACTTTTGTAAATAAATCTTGAATTTCTTCCAGTCTTCTTCAACCCTCTCTTCTCCCAGGTCTCGGATTCTGCCAGTCATCTCAGCTAGTTGCATATAGTCCATCAGCTGCATCTGCCATTCTTCCAGAGTGGGTAAATCTTGAGTTTTCCAATTCTTGGCGATCAATATCCTTGCTGCCGTTGTTGCATACATAAAAAATGTTCTGTCCTTCTTTAACACATTCTGGCCGACAATGCCCAAGAGGAAGGCCTCTGGTTTCTTGGTAAAGGTATACTTAAACACCTTTTTCAGCTCGTTGTATATCATCTCCCAGAAGGCCTTCACTCTAGGGCAAGTCCACCAGAGGTGAAAGAATGTTCCTTCATTTTCCTTACATTTCTAACATTTATTATCAGACGAATGGTATATTTTGGCCAATTTAACTGGGGTCATGTACCATCTATATATCATTTTCATTACATTTTCCTTCAGAGCACTACATGCAGTGAAGTTCAGCCCAGTGGTCCACAACCTTTCCCAGTCTTCAAACATAATATTATGCCCAATGTCCTGTGCCCACTTTATCATAGCCGATTTAACCATTTCGTCTTGTGTGTTCCATTTCAGCAGCAAATTATACATTTTTGAAAGTACTTTAGTCTTAGGTTCTAGCAGTTCTGTTTCCAACTTCGATTTCTCCACCTGGAATCCTAACTTCTTTGATCTGAGCATAGTGTAACCAGTCTCGCACTTTATCTTTCATTTTCTCTAAACTCTGCAATTTCCAATTGTCTCCATCTCTTTCTAATATTTCCCAATACTTTGGCCAATTGGCCTCCATATTGGGTCTTTTTCGGGCCTTGGCCTCCAAGGGTGACAGCCACCTCGGAGTTTTATTCTCCAGTAAGTCTTTGTATTTTGTCCAGACATTAAATACTGCTTTCCTGACAATATGGTTCTTAAAGGCCTTATTAATCTTAACCTTATCATACCATAAGTATGCATGCCATCCAAATGCATTGTTAAAACCTTCCAGATCCAGTACATCCGTGTCTTCAAGAAGTAGCCAGTCTTTTAGCCAGCAGAAAGCTGCGGCTTCATAATACAACTTTAAGTCTGGCAGGGCAAAGCCCCCTCTTTCTTTCGCATCCGTTAGTATCTTAAACTTAATTCTGGGCTTTTTGCCCTGCCAGACAAATTTAGAAATGTCTTTCTGCCACTTCCGGAAGCACTCCGTTTTGTCTACAATCTGCAATGTTTGAAACAAAAATAACATTTTTGGCAATACATTCATCTTAATGGCAGCTATTCGGCCTAACAATGAAAGTTTTAATTTTGACCAGCTATCCAAGTCTCTCTTAATTTCCGACCAACATTTTTCATAATTATCTTTGAATAAACTCAGATTTTTTGCTGTTATGTTTACCCCTAGGTATTTCACTTTCTTAACCACAGTTAATTCTGTCTCTCTGAAACCGTTCCGACTCAGTATCTGTCAAGTTTTTTCCCAAGACCTTAGTTTTTTGTTTATTTAGTTTAAATCCCGCCACCCGACCAAAATCTTGAATCAGTTGTAATACTCTTTTCATACTAGATTCTGGCTCCTGTAATGTCAAAACTAGGTCATAGATATTTATCATTTTAGATAGCTTCTTAATTAAATAAGCCAGCTTCATAATCTACGGTTTGAAGCTAGATTGTTTAGGAAATGGCCAGAGTTTATTTTAGACTATGATCTATGCTTCTTACCAAAATTCATAGAAAGCGAAATTACTGTACTGCAGACATTTTTCTCCAAGCTGCACAGGAGAAGTGCTGAGCTCAGGCTTGTTCTAGCTCATGCACTTTGCGGTGGACCATGGTCAGCCCATACTCTCAAGTTCACAGCATCTTAGTCTATACACTGTTTTTAATAGTCCAATCACAAATATCACTGGGAAACTACAAGGATTCTTCAGAGAAAACACTATCACAGATTAGCAGCAACTCACTGAGCAAATTTCTCAAAATAACAGGGTTTTGTCCTTGCATCACAGGAAGCGTGCAGCCCTGGTGCGGGGCTGCCCAAGGTAGAAATGAGACTCATAATATCAGTTTGGGGTTGAAATAGACCACAACTTTATTGATTACAGATGTAAGTAGGCTTAAGTGAAGGCATTGGAAATGCATCAGGTATCTAGCAGCTCACCAGCTGGTTGATCAAGGTTTGGTTGACCTTGAATAGCAAGTCTGTCTATTATGTACATTAAATTGGGGTGAACCCTTCAGGGCCACCACTTGGAAGGGTGCTATGGCCCATCTTCCCCCGTGTGGACTCCCAGAGACACCCCTTCCCAGATCTCCTTTAGCCAATAGGCTAAAGATGCAACCCAATGCCTTATCCACCCGAAGTTGTGACAATTGCTATGAGGTAGGCAAAAGCCTGCCAACCAGCCAGTTTGTCTATGGAAAATATCATCCCTGGCCCCAAATACTGTACAGCAATTGAGTATTCCATGGAAAGGTCCACACTCTGCCTCACCCACCCTCCTTTGGGCAGAACCATTCAGAAACAGGCTGGGAGGGTGGGGGATCCAACAATATATGAGCAGCCAACTTCTGCTACGACTTGCCTTTTAAATTATTTGGGCGGACTTGAATGGAGCTAGGTCTGTTGCCATAGCCACGCTCCTTCATCACTCTGATTGGTCCATTCAAATGGGCTTTCACACCTTACAAGGCAACCACGTGAGTCGTGCCATGATGCAATGGCCCTGGGACTGGGCCACGCCAGGCTGCATACCATTCTTCACTTGTAGTCCCAGGTAACCAGCCATCCTTTAAATCTATACCTGGCAGCTTCCTTCTGTCTGTGCCCCATTTCTGACATACTTTGTACAGTCAATCTGTAAAGATTTCCATTTTAATTCATTGACTCTTTTATACAATCTTTTTTGGCTCCCTCTTTTGTATTTAGCTTGGGCCAGAAAAACTTAATCTGCATTATCTCAAAGGCAAAATACAGACCAGCTGAAAGCCTGGGGAACACCTGATGCTGTAGCTGTGCTAAAGCTAGGCAGCTGTTGCTTCTTCTATGCAATCCATTATAGAACTATGGATGTCTTTTATCACTGTATGTTCAATATAGCAATACTGTGGGGCTGTTTAAGAATGAAAATATAAACTTCAAGGTTTTATTCATAGATCTGACATGCAGTTTCCCTCACCAAAGGATTTAGGTTGTTTGGTGCTTATTTGTCATAAGTCTATGACTCAGTTGTTCCTGGCTCACCATAATGAAGAATGTGAAGTACATTTTCAGCCAAAATGTGTTTTGTACTTTGGAGCTTTAACAAAAAAAGGGGGGTAGTTCTGAAGAAATAATAAAGTAATTGTTTTTCTTGACCTGACTGATTTTTTAAAATGTCATTCTCTAAAACAAAAAGATTTGAAAATGTAAATCATTTGTAAGAATGTCATTATGGTGCTTTAAAAAATAAATATTAATAAACATTATATCCAAATCTATTCAAAACTATAAGATATAAGTAATCTGGCATTTCTTGTGTACTTACATTAATAATCTGGTACACCAGCGCCATATAACATAATATTTAGGACAAGTCAATCCTCATATTACCTTTTAGTTACTATTGCGCATCAGAAGTTTAAGCTTATATATCCATATGGATGACTATCCATATGGGAGGCTAGCACTCCACCTTCTCTCTGTCAATTTCTTTCTTTGTTACCTGCACTGATGGGCAAGCATGAAGTTCCCAGGGTTGGAGGTACTCATATGCCAAGGACTAGATTCTCAGATGGGGTTGCAAGTCCAAGACATGGTGTCTATGGAGGACCCAACTGATGTTGAAGTCTGGGTTGATATACCAGATGAACCTCTGGTGTTGCTGGTTCATCTGGGTTATCTGTTCAGCACCTCTTCATCTAGGTCAAAATCAGAGCCTGATACATTGCTCAGTGTGGTAGTCATAAAAGGAAACAGGTGCATCAGTTACTGAGAAAGTTCAGAAGCCTATGCTCATTAAGGACCAAACTGGATGTACATGGTAAATGTATTTGTGTCTTTCATTAGCCTTTCAAACCCTGGAACAGAAGTCCATTGTCACATCCTATTAATATTCAATTGAGCAATGTTATCCCAGCAAAGGCCTAAGAAAGGCTGAGAGATTTATATCCTTGCAATCAGCTCCTCCCTCTCTCTCTCTCTCTCTCTCTCTCTCTCTTTCTTTCTTCCTGATCATCTGCTGGCTCTCAATGCACACCTGAACCTTCTCTAGTTTCTCAATCCTCTGAAGTAGACCCCTGGTAGGGGAACCCACTGATGGCCCTCGAAGCACTCCTCTGCCATCTGATCTTCTGAGCTTGATGTCATATCAGCTCCTGGGGGGTGAGGATGTAGAAGGAGAGTCTGGGTCCAGGTGCTGATGATGATCAAGGGGTCCAGGCGAAGTGTCTTTGGGACTTGGTGAGACTGTTTAACTATGGCATTGGGCTCTTCAAGCTCCCTGGTGGCACTGGAGGTCTTGGTAAAGACCCATTCCTCTTCCTCAGATGAAGTCCCCCAGGAGTCATGGCCAGGCTGGACTCCAACAGTACATGTTAAAAATGTGTTTGGCCCATTCAAATATAATGTAAGGCTGGTGAGAAGACGTGTGTGGGGAAAAGGAATTAAAACCTCCAGCACTCTATATGATCTGTCAGCTTGTTGTGCTCCATATATGTGCTCTGTAACTACAAGGACAAGGGTGATCTGAAAGTGGAGATATTGACATCAGGCCCTTGTCATGGTCAAATCACTTCCTGTTGAGATTTAGGCTTTCAGCGCCTACATAACTGAGAATAAGCCATATTTAACAATACTGTGTATAGGATTGCACTGTTAAAATCTCATCTAGCCCTAAAGGTTGGACCTGGAACTGTCCTTCAGGCCTTGAAAATAATGAAGTTGTTGAAGACTATGGTTGCCGTTGATACCAAATTGAACTGTCATTCTTGGCAGCTGTTGATCACTTAGAGAAAGTTCTTTTCAGAAAGCCATAGCCAGAGCATATTTCAAAGGAAACTTCTGTCTGTGTAGGCAATGGCATTAAGCAAATGGGACATAT